TTTATATTCTCAGTTTTATTGGCATATGTTGGACAAAATAGCTTCTAGTAATTGCCATCACTCAGTCTGCCACCTTGACTTGGCTTCCATCCTAGGCCTTTTTAAAGGAGTCACATTTGTGTCATTGTGTCATTGTGTGGTCCTCTTTGAAAATGGATGAACAACAACATTTGTGTTTTAGTTTGTGTAGAATAGTTTGATTAAGACCTGGAGAGTTCTTAACTTTTAATAAGAATGTCCCTAACTTGATGGCTTGCAGATTGATTATATCCCTGTACGTATTTTGGACATAGTTTCATATAAATAGTATTTATGGAAGTGCTTTCATCATAGATATTGAACTCAAAGTTTGTGAGAGGCATCACTATATATCTTTTGAAATGCATCTGTGTGTATATTAAAAATATGTTCTTAAAGGACGTGGGGGGGGCAGGGAACTATAATATCTTTTAAGAATGGTTGTGTTAAAAGTCTGTATCAAAGGCCAAGCTGGAACACTTTGAAGTTTGCAGAGGTAACAGGATAATGTTATTTTCAAAAATCTAATGGGAGGAAGTGAGTCCTTCCTCTTTGAGAAAAGAGAATTATTCCAGTTTGATTAGAGAAGGACCATTATAAATTTTTCTGTCCTGGATTTTGCTGAGCTATGTGAAGGAGAAATCTAGTTTCTTGCCCTTGGGCAAAGAAATATAGGGGAATGACTTGGGCAATTTAAGGGTTTTATACTGATGAGGCAGTTGACCTTTTCTCATGAAAGGGTGAAAAAAATTTAAGTGTCTCAAGGGCTGAGATAGTCTTACTTTTTTGTTTGTATTCCCAATGAATAGTACCCAGGCCTAGCAGAGATCCTGGCACATGGTAGGTGCTTAATAAATACTTGGGTAGATGGATTAAATGATTAAGAAAAATCATCTGTTAAGGTTCTTGACACTAAATTGCTAAGAAGCACCAGAATTGTGAGCCCTTTGAGTGGGTATATTCCAATAAACTTTCAGCGTAAAAAAAGGTGAATGTTATGACAGACTTGAGGCAAGTGACTACTTAAGTAGTCCAGGAATGAGATGGATGAGAGCCTGCGTCAGAGGAGAGGAGGGAGTGGGGGTATATTTGAGGGATGTTGTAGGGGTGAATAAAGCCTTGGCAAGAGCTCGGTTGTGGGGAGTGAGAGGATAATGCTTAGGTTACTACCCTGAGGGATGGGGAAGATGGTGTTGCCCTCTACAATAATAGGGAAGTTAGGAGGAGGGAGGGTTTGTGAGGAAGATAATGAGTTCTATTTTGGACATGTTGAGTTTAAAATGGCTACTAGACATTCAACTAGAGATGTCTTAAAGGCAATTAGAGATGCAAAATTGGAGATCAGCAGTGAAGTCAGGGCAGGATAGGAAGATAGGAGAATCATCAGCATAGAGATGGTAGTTAAATCTTTGGGAGCTGATGAGATCTCCAAGTGAAGTGAAATAGAGAGAGAAGAGGGCCTGGGACAGAACCCTGTGGGACACCTGTGGTTAAATGATGTGATCTGGGTGAGGATCCAGCAAAGGAGATTGAGAAGAGGTCAAGATAGGTAGGAAGAGAACCAGGAGAGAGTGGTGTCCTGAAAACCTCGGGAGGAGAGAGTGATCAACAGAGTGCCAAAGTCCAAAAAGAGGTCAGGAATGAGGCTTGGGAGAACACTTCTGGATTTGGCAAGTGAGAGATTCTTGGTAACTTTGAAGAGAGCAGTTTTGGTGGAATGCCGAAGTCAGAAGCTGGGTTGTAAGGGGTTAAAAAGAGATAGAGGATGTTAGTGGGGATGGAGAATCAGGGATGGGTTTTTTAAGTTTGGGGGCATGTGGGCATATTTGTAGGAATTGTAGAAGGAGCCATGAACAGGGAAGTTGAGAATAAGTGATAGAGAGGGGCAGTCTGTTGAAAGAGACAGATGGAATGAGACCACTTATGCAGGTGCAGGGCGTGCCTTGATGAGGAGTGAGGCGACCTCTTCGTGTGAGACCAGGCTGAAGATGGAGAGAGGGGCAGAAGGAAGGCATCCGAGGGATGGGAGGCGGGGAAGAGGAAGCTTGCTGTGAAGGACTTCAGTTTCTTCTGTAAAGTGTGAAGCAGAGTTCTCTGCTGACAGGATGGGGGATGGGAGCTGTAAAGTGGGATAGTGAGTTATATAGGATTGCTGAGTGTCCCTGAGGCTCTTAACTCCTCCGTCCTCTCTCACTTGGTGATCTCATCAACTCCCTGGCTTCAGCTTTAGTCTCCTGAGCTACAGCTCCATGTCATCATCAGCTGCCGTTTGGATTTCTCAAATGGGTAACCCTTAGCCATCTCAAACCTAATGTGCTCCAAGTAGAACTCAGTGCCCCTTCCCCAGGGGCTCTCCCAAATCCCCAGCCTCTGAACCTTGGAATCCTCCTCTGCAGCCCACTCTCTCTCTCCCTCCCAGCATCTTTCATCTCTGGGCCTTTTCCCCCTGCTCAGCCACTTCTGCTTTGCCTCTTACTGTGTTCTTCCTCCACTCAGCTGCCGAAGGGACCCTTCTGAAGTGTGTGTCCGCCTGAGTAACCTCGCATCCCTTCAGTGAGCGCCAGTGTCTCCACTCTCCCTAGAGTCAAACATATAACCTCTATTTATTGTCCCTTTCACACGATTCCAGTCTGCACATACTCCTCCATCTCCTCTCTGGGCTTTTGTGTGGGCCGTTTGCCTGGCTTCTTTGAAGTCACAGTGTGAATCCTACTTTCGGGATGTCTTTCCCAGTCTCCACAGCTACTCTTTCCCTGAGATTATTTCCCATCTACTCTCTCTGTGGCTTGTATATACCTGGTTATTTATTGTTGTCTACTCCATTAGAATGGAGTTTCTTGAGGGCAGAGAGACTATTTTTATCTTTCTTTGTCTCAGGCCTGAATATAATTCCTGGCACATAATAAACACTCGATAAATCCTTTTTGGTTCGTTGAGATTACCCTTTTACTTTCCTCCCAGTTCACCTCTTAACATTAATACCACACTGAAATAATGCCTGTCCTCTCAGTTCTCCCTCCCTTCGTTACCGAGATAGGAGACTATGGATGTAGAACACTGTTTTACTCTCAGTCAGGGTATTTATTAACTAAGTAGTTAATATCCTGGTTAGCTTTATTGAAATGCTTTTTTTTTTTAAAGTTTTTGTTTACAAGAGATAGTTCTCTGGGCAGTGGAGGGATATATTTAAAAACTAATTAGATGTAAAAACAAAAGGCACCAATAAAATTGAGATAAATTTTTAAAAATGATGCCACAAAAATCAAAGCTTGCTTATAAAGAATATTCTCGTTGAAGATTAGAAGTGATGTGCCCATTGAGCATTTTATAACAAGTCATCTTTGTTCCTCTCATTTTTTCTTTCCTGTTTGCAAGGTTGCTGGCAAGAATCCAGGCAGACATCGTTTGTTCCTGTTAGGATATTGGTACATTTGAGCAACTTCTAGGATTTTATTTAAGATCATCTGTGTTGGGAAAAGCCAAGCATGTTCTTGTGTCCCTTTGAGTAGAAATTTTCCTTCTTATACTCACTATCACTTTCTTTCAGAAAGTTTAAACTATTTTACAAGCATTTTGTATCTAATTTATCTATAACATTGCCATAGCGGATAGCATGGAATAGATATTCCCATTTTCTAGATGAAGAATCAAAAGAAGAAGGACGTGACATGGTATTATTGTTGTTATGGTTTGCACTCGGCTCATAAAACTTTGCCTCGTTCTTACAGAAGTTTTATAGTTTACTGGGTAGGGTACTGCACAAGGAATCCAGAGACCGGCTTCTGGTCTTGTTCTTTCAATTAACCAGTTTGTAATATGATCATAGAGAATTTATTTAATCCCTTTGTGACTCATTTTTCTCTCTGCATAATTTAGGCAGTAATCTATATAAAGATGCTGTAAGGATATAAGAATGGAACTTTGTATGTTTCCCCATCAAATTTTAGAAATAACTCAATGAAGAATAAATAATATATGAAACAATCTTAATGCTTTGTATGATGATACGGAAATTAATAACTAATTAGTCCTTTCATTTTATCTTAATCATGAGATTATTTTCATGATGTCACATGATTCTGCTGGTGATTAGGTGTGTAATTAATGCTTGTTTTGACTAGAAATCGATGTACCTTGCTTGTAACGGATCCAGCTTTAAATAGCTGGCGTAGGAACAACAACAAATTGTCAGCAGAATTTTTTTCTTCATTAAATTTAAAAACTGGTCTTAGAAGCACTTGAACCAATGGCTTTATTTTAGAAATGGGTAGAGGTTTGGAGGTGATCTTTTAAAAATATTACTGCAGTGAGAAAAAACAACTAGCTACTTAGTTCCATTTAGGCTTTAGTGTTAACCTGGGGTCCACAGACCCCTGGGAGTCAATGGATGGTTTTCAGGAAGTCCATAAATTTGGATGGGAAAAATTACTTCTTTATGATTGGTTTACTTTATAATCTTTTTTGGGGGGGGGAGGGGGGGCGAGGCAGTCAGGGGTAAGTGACTTGCCCAAGGTCACACAGTAAGCGTCAAGTGTTTGAGGCTGGATTTGAACTCAGGTCCTCCTGAGTCCAAGGCTGGAGCTCTATCCACTGCGCCACCTAGCTGCCCTGATTTCCTTTATAATCTTATGCATTTTATGTTAAACATGTCATTCTGAAAAAAAAATAAAGGTTTATAGACTTCACCAGACTGCCCAAGAGATCCATGGTAGAGAAAAGGTTAAGAACTCTTGCTCTTGTGGTTTCTTTTTTCTTAGACTCTTTAATAGAATAACTTTATATATTGACATAAGTATAAAGTCAAGATTGAAGATTGTTGAAATTCCTGAAGGGTAAATGTGTGCTTCAGATTTTTTCCTTCACCAGGTTGTAATACTTGACATTCTACTTTAATTTTGACGAATCAAGATGTGTTACTGGGTGGTGAGAACACTGTTTTTCTGTAACACTTTATCTTTGAAAATCTCTTTTTCCCTTTCTAGTTTCTTTTTCTAAAGAAGAGAACTATCAACTACTAAAATTTACAAATAAGTCTTACCTGCTGGATAAAAGAGCTCAGTATCATGTGTACTATGGTTTGATTGATATTCTTTTGGCTTACTGCTATGAAATCCGAGTTACTGAAGGAGAGAGCAATGTAAGTATGTGTTTCTTTCTGTAGAACACTGCATGCATCCAACTAGACTAAAGTACCACCTGCCTGTTAGCAGAACCGGAAGCCACTATTTGAATATGGTTCTTTAAAAAGCAGCAGCATAGGGGCAGCTAGGTGGTGCAGTACATAGAGCACCGGCCCTGAAGTCAGGAGGACCTGAGTTCAAATCTGGCCTCAGACCAAACACTTGACACGTACTAGCTGTGTGACCTTGGGCAAGTCACTTAATCCCGATTGCCTCACTAAAAAAAAAAAAAAAAAAAAGGCAGCAGCATAAGATTTGTACCCGGGGTCTTTTTCAGCTATCAGTACTTGATTAGGTGTAGGAATTGAAAGGGGTTAGTGGAACAGTATCAGATATATTCTGGCTTAACTCCTCCTCTCCATTGGAAAATGACAGCCCAAGAGGCATTCTGGTCAACTCAGCCAACAGCGATTTTTCTCAGGGCTTTCTGTTTTTCAGACACTCAGTTGCTAGGGGTCATTTGCTAGGAAGATGGAGACAAAAGTGAGACATTCTCTGCCTCCACAGAACTTACCTTCTCTCTGGAAGGGTAGGGTTGAGGACAGGTACACCACATACACAAGTACGTCAAAACAAAGGGCGTGCACCTCCATGCGGTGGCGGGGGGGGGGGGGGGGGGGGGGGGGACGGAGACGGAAAGCGTTCGGCACCAGGGACCTAGCTTCACTTAGTTGGTTGTGTGGTGGAGGGATTAGTGTTGTTCCTTGGCCTCCAGAGGGCTGAACTTGGAGCATCGTGTAGAAGGAGCAAAGAGGCCAATCTGAGCTTAAGCCAAGGAGAAACTTCTAATAATTATGGCTGGGGCACTGTGGCTGCATATGCCATCAGGCATATTGTGCAGAAGAATGATCTAATGCATGTTTAAGGAGAATATAGTTTCTATTTTTTGGGGGCAGGGGGTGGTGTGTGAAGCAATCAGGGTTAAGTGACTTGCCCAGGGTCACACAGCTAGTAAGTGTCAAGTGTCTGAGGCTGGATTTGAACTCAGGTCCTCCTAACTCCAGGGCTAGTGCTTTATCCACTGCGCCACCTAGCTGCCCCTTAATTTCTATTTTTTAAAAGTTACTTCTCTCTTATAGACTTGAAGTATAGGGTGGATAATCACTCAGGTATCTTGTACAGGGGAGTGTTTTTAGGTAGAAGTCTCTTCTAGCCTTGAGGTTCTGTGATTCCATGTACCCCAATTTAGGCCTTAGCTCCCCTCCCCCATAATGTCCCAATTACATTTTTTACACATCAAATCATGTTCTAGTATTAACTTGTTATGTGTAAGAATTCTGTGGTGAATCCTTGGGTAAGATTAATAATTGCCTAATTTTTTGAAAATTAAGATTTTGAAATTTATCAGGTTGTTTCAGGTGGTGCTCACACACCCAACAGTAAGTCAGTAACAATAGCAATAGTAACAATAGCTAAACTTATATATAACTTTTAGGTTTTCAAAGTGCCCTTTATATATTACCTCATTTGATCCTTACAAGAATTCTGGGTATGTGTTATTATTATCCTCATCTTATAGAGCGGAAAACTGAGCCTCAAGAAATGATTTTTCCAGGAGCACTGATTAAGTGTCAGAGGCAGTATTTGAACCCAGGTCAAAAACCTGAATGGTTCTATTTATAGTGGATTAAAAAATTCTAGGGGAAATAAAAGCAAGCTTCCAAATTAAAACTTTTGGTTATCTAACTACTAAGGCTATCATTTTTGAAAAGCATGTAGTTACTATTTTTCTTGAATACTTTGATAGAGTTTGAATATGACATCACAATTTTTGTCATTTTTAAAGGATTTCTATTTTACAGTAGCGATCCGTTTTTCAGATTTCTGTTTTTTCCCTGTAGTGAACAAGGTTTATATGTCAAAGTGCTTTAATAGAATGGCATGGCTCAAAGTACTTCATTTATTGAAGACACTGCAGTTGGTTTCATAAATTTATGAATAAGAAAAATATTTTACCTTTTAAAAATTCATGCTGTGATTTTGTTTGAAAAAATGACAGGGTAGGATTTTACAATATTTTATTTGGCTACCGTTTTGGATTTGAAGTTTGCATGTTTGAAGGCATAATAATATAATTCGAGATTTGTAGAGTCTGTTGTACTCTCAGATCTCAGCTGTAGAGAGCTCTTTAGAGTTAGAAACAATACGTTAACAAAAAACAACGATAATGATAATAGTTGACAAAAACTGTGATGGTTTCTTTAATGAGAGGTGTTGCTTTTACAGGCACCAGTAACTTCGAAAGGACAAAGTCTGAGTAAGCACTTTATTTTAGTTGCTACTTCTAAAGTTTTAGCTCATCTAATATGTTTTGGTACACTTCGCAATAGAAAAATTTTGTTTAATAGAAAAATTTGTTTCCTTCATCCTTTCCATAAATCAAGTAAAAATTTGGTTCCTAGCAGTGTACCCATTACTGAATTTACTCAAGCAGTTAGTGCATAAAGAACAGTTAGTTGATAAGGCAAGTTGATAAGGGTTTAAAATAACCCTTGTCATACTGTTTTGCCAACTGGCATTAAATAACAAAAAATAACCCTCTGTGTGTCTTTTAAAAAAAGGAAACATGGCATAATGCATTGAATTAAAAACCAAATACTTACTTAGTACAATATCTGTAAAGTGTGATTTACTAACCTCAAAGAATTAACTGTGCAGAGGGTTGGGTGGTGGTACCTTCCTGATTGGGCAGTAATTTTGAAGTTGGTATAATAGTGAACCATTGGAAATGATCCCTTTTGGCAAGATTGTCTTAATACAAAGGGTGCAGTGAGAGCTAATTGCTGCCCTTGACCTCGTTCCTGAATAAATCTTAGGTCAGTCTGGTTGCCAACAAAATGAACTCATTCCTGTGAGAAAATCAGTGTCTTGTCTTTGGAAAGAATTAGATTGGAATGTGAAGGTCTTCTTATCGTGAAAGTTTGTTATGAATTGGTTACTGGGAACTTATTCCAGTATGATAATATTAGTGATTAGTAATGAACAAAAAATGTAAGGAAATTGTTGGTGTCTTTGAAGAGTTGATGGAGAGATTTCTTTGTTATAGTAAAAACTGAAATTAAAAGTGATAATAAAGTTTTTTTTTTCCCCACAATTTATAATTCATGGAATTTATCAATCAAGGAGAGAGTCGTGTGTTGCTGCATGGGTGACCATAGCCATATTTTTATTCTGTAGTCATGAGTACTTGTTAATTCTTGAGTTTTCTGAAAAGTATATCACTTTGACTCAGTTACAGACTGCTGTTATCCATTTAGATATGTATTTGCCTTATTTTTAAACTATTTAATGTGAGACAAACACAATTTTCTCTCCTAACCAAATAAAGGTTGAATCTCCATGGAATATCAGAAAACTAAGTGGAACATTGTCCTGGTTTGAGGTAAGATTTTCTGATGCTTAAAAGCTTATATTTCTACATGAAGAGATTATTTAGTTCTTTCTAGAGAATTTGACTGATTATCTTTTTTTTAAAATGGAAATTGCATTTTGCAAGTTCTCTTAATATAGTTATGCCACATTTTGGTACCAATAATTCAATAACATTTAAGCAGGAATCCTTTATGAGAAGCACCTAGTTCAGTTACTGCATCTTATAAATTAGGGATATTGAGGAAGTAGAATTATTTAAAGTAATAGAAGTGACTGAAACCAGGTCAGATTTTTTGATATAATGAGTTTTGAGGAAGATTGAGAACATTATTAGAGAGCATTTGAGGAGCAAAAGTCCTGATGTCCAGAGGTGAGAGAGGGCAAGCATGCACAAGATAGGAAGCTGTGTTTGTATATTTGGAGTAAAATGTACAAGCTATGCTGTAATTCACTTGTCCATTATTTTGGGAGATATGAACAGGTGGGTTTGTAGGAATCGTGGGGCTTTTTAAGGTCTGCTGTAAGAAGCTTTAATCAGATTCAGTAAATAATTGTGTTCAGAAAAGGGTCGAGAGAACTGCTCTTGCTTTGTATGCAAGATACAGTTATTTGTTGTAGACTAAAGCCAAGGTGACATCCTGGATTTGGGATGATAGCTATGAGAGTGCAGGAATCAGGGTGAATCTAAGAAATATACTTAAATTAATCTAAACTTTTATTTTCTTGTCCAATTTCAAAGATAAAACATTGTATTGCAGACTTTCGGAATCCAGTTCATTCATAGACACACACACACACACACACACACACACACACTCTCTCTCTCTCTCTCTCTCTCTCTCTCTCTCTCTCTTTTGAAATGGTAGTTGGGTTAAGTGATTTGCCCAGAGTAACACAAGCTAGTAGGTATCTGAGGCTGATTTTGAACTCAGATTCTCCTGATTCCAAGGCCAGGCTCTATCTACTGCACTACTTAGCTGCCTCTGGTTCATATATTGAATGACTACCCTATGATTCTTATTTCCCCAAACATTAAAATAAATTATGAGTTTTCTTTGCTTATCAAGGCTAACAGTGAGTTTAATTCATAAGGGAGAGAACTGTGTCCCCATCTGCAATATGTAGAACTTAGCAGAAAGGGGGAAATATTAAATATAAATCATTTTTAATAGATCTCGTATACATATGTGTTCTGTAATGGCATATGTTTCAAATTTATTTATATTTTTAAAGTGTACTTCTGACCTTACATGCAATGGAAAAAGCAGATATAATATGTTGATCTAATAAAATAATAAAGATAACAAGTATGTATTTTATTGTAAAGAGTTAAAATATTTTCAGTTCAAAACTGCTGGTATTTTCTGTGTGCTTGATTTGTTGGTAATGCTTATGTTTTTAGGTTCTTTTATTGAAAATCATGACATTTGTTTTAGGCTTTTTCTTCATGTAATGTTTCCTAGAAATTAATAACTTTTAATGACAATTAACAGACTTGGAATAATGTTCATGAAATCCTGGTTTCTTTTGGAAGAAGAGTTTTATGTTATCCACTTTATCGACATTTCAAGCTGGTGACAAAAGCCCACATTGATACAGTAAAGATATTACAATTAGGTAAGATATTTTTTCTGCATGCTAAAATGGGAGAGATTCTCCTATCTTCCAGTAAAGTGGGAGAATTTTAAACCTACAATCTTTGAGAAGGCAGGTAAGTTGCTCTTATAAATAGTGATGATACATAGTGTATTATTTCTGTCCTTGTATAGTATTCTACTTATTCTTTTATTTTCTAGTTAAGTGGCATGAGTTGTTTGTATAATATGCTTACCTATTTATTCACCTTGGTAAAACTTGTAGCCTCTTTAGTGGCATTATACTGAAGTGATACTTCAAGTATTTGTGGTTCCATCACATGGGCATTCCCTCTATCCCTGCATGTCACAATTCCTCAGTGACTTTGTAAACAGTCTTCAGGAAGAGGTTTGAGGAAAAATTCATTGCCCTGTAACCAACCTGGTGATAGTTAGGTTGATCTCGGGAAATCATCACCACACTTGTCCTTGAAGGCTTTCCAGCTTGATATGACCTTCTCAAGTTTGACCTTCAGTCACAGCCTTTGAGAATCTAGGGTCATTGCCATGTGATGGTGAGGCATCTGAGTTGAACTGTTGTGCCTCTAGCTTTGGAGATTGGTAAATAAACAGCATTATTTAACAATAGTGACAGTAACTCACTATATTCTGCAAACTTCTGTGCGTATATGTATACATGCACACTCGCACACTCGCACATCCTTAAATTCTTTGTAGAGTTCCAAACAAGCAAAATCAACTGAGTCAGTGAAGGACTGGGGTAAATGAAATTTGGTTTTTTTAATACAAGTATAAGGCATTATCTTTATCCTTATGTTCTAGCCTGTCATGATCTTTTGAATCAGGATTCCATTATTGATTTATAAACAAAAGTTCTACAGTCCTAACAGTACTGCTCCCATTCTCTAGTCTTTCAGAGATGATTGAAAGTGGCTTAGCAGTTACATTTGTCATCTTCTATATAAAATATATACCTTTTAAACATGATCTGGGCCAGATGATCTGAGCTCAGTAAGGGCATATATAAAAAATAAGCACACGTACACACATACATATGTGTGTAAGTGTGTATACATGTATTTTTTAAAAATTATATTTTATTTTTTCAGTCAGCAACAATCATTTTCTCTTCCCCTGCTCCCTCTCTCCAGGCCCCAAATGAAGAAAGAACCCTTGTTACAAACATGTAACAAGTAAAACAAGTAAAACAAAGTTCCTCTTTGGTCATGTCCAAGAAAATGTGTCTTATTCTGTGCTCTGAGTCCTTTGCTCTGTCAGGAGGGAGGTAGCATGTCTCATCATTAGTCTTCTAAAATCATGGTCATTACACTGATCAGTGTGTGCCTGGTTTGGTGATAATGCTTATGTTTTTAGATCCTTTTATTGAAATTAATGCCATTTGTTTAAGGGTTTTTCTTCATGTAGTATTTTTTGGAAATTACTAACTTTCAATGACAACAGAGTTGGAATAATGTTCCTAATTCTTTCAAAGTTGTTTATCTTCAGCATATTTGCCATGCTTTCTTTCTATAAATTGTTCTCCTGGTTTTGTTCACTTCACTCTGCATGTAAGTCTTCCCAGGCTTCTGTGAAACTGTCTCAATCATTTCTTAAAGCACAGTAGTATGCCGTCACATTCACATACCATAACTTGTTTGGCCCTTCCCTAATTGATGAGTATCCCCTCAGATTCCCATTCCTTGCTAATTCAAAAAGAGCCATAAATATTTTTCATGTATCTTTAGGATTTGTTTTGCCTAGACTTCTTTTCATTTTTATAATAATTAGTAGTTGTGATTGACTGCATGAACTGACATGATAAAATGTCCTTTTAATTAAATGTTTAAAGCTCATTTCATTGTTGAAATTCAAACAATCATTATTGTATACAGATGGAAGTAATTATTCTCATTATTCTCTTTCTAGAATAAAACTGCTATCCTCCAAAGGGAGTAAATAGTCATCAGAATCCTAGAATTTAAAACATATAGACACAAACACACACATACACACTATACACACATATACACATTCATGTGTACATGTACAATTTATGTATACACGCACATGCATAATTTGAAGTTTATAGAAAGTGGTTTTAATTCGGTCAGACTACCAAAATTTTGTATAAACTTTAACCCTAAAGCTGACACAGAATATTACTGGTCTTTTATTTTTCCAAATCTCAAGTGAGGCCTTGAATGAAGTGATAGGATTGTCATTTGTAATTTTTGCTGTTATTGTATGCATTTCATTTTTGAGATCAGAATTGATTTTTTTTTTAAATTTGGCTCACTTCACTCTGCATAAGTTCTTACTACTTACCATTCACTGAAACCATCTCTTTTGTCATTTCTTATGGCACAGTAATATTTCATATATCATAGTTTGTTCAGACGTTTTCCATTTGTCTAAGAGAAAATCTAGGCATGGCACCCTTAATTTCTAGTTCATTTATTTTGGTGGGTTTTTTTTTTAATTTGTTTGTTTGTTTTGACTTCCTTTTGGGTATTAAAAGGTTTGTTTCCTTTATCATCCTGCTTCTTTCTCCCCCTCCTTATCCCTGCTTGTTTCCCTGAGGACTTTGATGTCCAAACTCTGAGTGTGTGTTTGTGTTCAACTCTTCTTTGTCTGTTTTAGATAAGAATGAGATTCTTCTGATGTCCAGTCCTCCCACCCCTTCATCAGTATTTGTACACTCTTCTCATGCATTCCAGTTAGAAAAAGCAGCAGGCTTCCCTTACTTCCTTCTCTGTTCTAGGCTGACGTATCCCTTTTACCTTCCATTCCCCTTTTCTTCTTCAAGCCCTCATATAGCAGAATCAGTCCATCCTCGGGATCTCCTCATTATCCTTGGAATAATGAACATTCTGAACGTTTCTTCTACCTCTGTCAGAATGTTAGTGTTCCATCGTTGTACGGCTCCTTCTACTTGCTCAAATCACTTTTCTGTGTTTCTCTGCACTCTCATGTTTATGTTTCACAGCTCCTATGCAGCTTCAGTGTTTTCAACAGAAGCGTGTGGAAGTCCTCTATTCCATTACAGGTCTGTTTTTCCCCTGTTGGATGACGTGCTCAACTTGGGAGAGTACATTATTCTGGGTTGTGAGCCTAGAGCTTTTGTTGGAATGTTGTATTCCAAAATCTCCTCTCCTTTCTGTTGGAAGCTGGCAGGTCTTGGGTGCTTCTTACTGTGGCCTCTTGGTACCTGAACTGCTTCTTTCAGGATGCTTATAACATTTTTCTTTGATGTGGGCATTATGAATTTTGGTTATGACATTCATAGGATTTTTCTTTTTGGAGTTCTTTTCAGGGGTTGATCTAGATGTTTTCTTTTTTTACTTTGTCCTCTAATTGTAATAGTTTTAGGTAATTTTCATTTATGAATACTTGAAATAGTTGAGGCTTTTTAATCATTATTTTCAGAGAGTCCAGTGATTCTTAAATTATTTCTCTTTGACTTGTCTTCCAGGTCAGTAGTTTCTGGCGTCAGATATCTTAGTTTTTTTCTCTTTTTTCAGCCTTTTAATATTATTTTAATATTCTTATCTCATGGAGTCATTGATTTCTGTTTGATCTTTTATGGCGTCTGTTAATGAGTGAGGTTTTACTGCTTTTTGAAACTATTTCTGCTCTTTCTAATTCTTTCAGAGCTTTTCTTTCTTTTGCTTTTAAAATCACTCGCCCCCCCTTCTGTTCATGTAGTCCTTGTGAAAAAATTCATTTTTTTCCTTTGAGCCTCTGCTTGCAGTGAAACTGTTCTAGTGCTACTTTCCCATGCTTTTGGGGGATGTTGACATGTATGACAATTTCCATACTGACTGGTGTCTTCTTTGGTTTATTCATCTCTCTAGCTTTAGTTCTAGAATTGGGGCTGTTCTCCCTGCTGTGGGTGGCCTTCCTTGACCTTGCCTTGGACCCCCGGAGTTTCTCCACTGACCTCCGCTTCTTTAGATCTTAGAATGTTAGAGCACAGGATCCCCACAGCTCTCGATTGAGTCTGTTGGACAGAGCCCTAGAGGCCTCAGATTCTTAGAGCATCTGGGCTTTCTTGTTGCGAGTACTGCAGCGCTACCCTGGTTGATCTTGTGCCCCAGGGCTTGAGGCCCTCTTACTCGGGCTCTGGCCACTCAGAAGTTTTCATTGATGCTGGGGAGTGGCACAGAAGGCTTCACCTTTGCTTTCTCTGACCTTTCTTGGGAGACTGTGGCCTTGTTTCCTAGTAGCCCCTTTCTTATCTCCCATGGGCTTCAAGCTGGCTTTTTGTACCTCTCACATCCATCAGCTCTGTGATGCTGGGCAAGTTGTTTAAACACTCAGCATCTTTGGGAGTTCTAGAAGCCTCCAAGGTGCATGTCAGATGCTGCTTTGGTAGATGGAGGCCACACACTCAGAATTACACACACACACACACACACACGCATGCACGCACACACAACCTTAGTCATTCAGCTTGAAAGGTAGTGTGGTGTTGTAGAAACAGACTGCCCTCCTGAGGACCCAGTTTGACTTCTTCTTTAAACCCTTCCTTTGCTAAATGAGTTTGCCTGCCTGTAAAATGGTTGACCACTTTGCACAGTCTGCCTCATCGGATGGTTGTTTTTGGAAAGTTGCTGAGTAATTTTAGTATTAAGTAAATGCCAGCCAGTATAGCTGAATGAGCCTATCAGTTTTGCTTGTTTTTTGTTTTTTGTTGTTGTTGTTGTTGTTGTTTTGTTTCATAGAAAACAAGCAGAGGGAACATGGCAGTTCTCTTTGTTGAAGGGATTGTGTATTTTATCATGGCGTTTGCTAGTTGCAGGGCCCATTGGCTCAGGAGCAGGTGAGCTCACATTCAGCTACATGGCTGATTAACATGTGTACATTTGCATACAGTGACCATGGAATGCTAGCGTTCCAAAAAGCAGCTGTGTCCCCAAACCTCGATTAGTTAAGAAGTGCTGTGAAGATGTTTACCAGATGATTTGGGGCTTGGTGAACTGGATCCATAGCCGTTTGTGGGCGTGCTCTCAGGTCCGGCCG